GGCCCCCCATCTCAGCCGCCATGTGTTGGAGTTCTCCCCGGTGAATGAGAGGGTCGCGTCCCTCCGCTTACTGGTGGGGGACAAGTCTCTCACTGTTGTGATTAACGGCAGTGCAATGGTACCTGGCCTTCTTGGAGTCCCTGTCCCTCAACGCCAATGTGGGAAATGGCAGTGACACTTGGAGAGGGGTGATCGGGAAGAACGGCCCCCCTCATCTCACCCAGAGCGGTGTTCAGTTGTTGGACTTCTGTGCCAGTCACGGTTTGTCCATCACAAACACCATGTTCCAGCACAAGGGTGTCCACCAGTGCAGGTGGCACCAGGACACCCTAGGCCGGAGGTCGATGATTGACTTTGCCATTGTATCATCTGACCTTCGACCGGGTGTCTCAGACACTCGGGGAGGGAGGCAGAGCTGTCAACCGATTTTTAGAGTTTTTTTAAACATAATTTCAAGGCCTGAGCCCCATAGCCCTCAGGTAGTACTATTATTTAAAAGTGGTTTGGAGTAAATGGGTCAAATGCCCTAAAAGCTATTGAAGAAAAAACTGGTATTTTAACCAAATAAGCTATTGAAGAAAAACTGGTATTTTAACCAAATAAATCATTTAAAAATGTTAAAAGCTTTTAAGAACAATTTCAAGGGCTGAGCCCCATAGCCCTCAGGTAGTACTATTATTTAAAAGTGGTTTGGAGTAAATGGGTCAAATGCCCTAAAAGCTATTGAAGAAAAACTGGTATTTTTAACCAAATAAATCATTTAAAAATGTTAAAAGCTTTTAAGAACAATTTCAAGGGCTGAGCCCCATAGCCCTCATTTAGTACTATTATTTAAAAGTGGTTTGGAGTAAATGGGTCAAATGCCCTAAAAGCTATTGAAGAAAAACTGGTATTTTTAACCAAAAAAATAATTTTAAAAGCTTTTAAGAACAATTTCAAGGGCTGAGCCCCATAGCACTCAGGTAGTACTATTATTCAAAAGTGGTTTGGAGTAAATGGGACAAATGCCCTAAAAGCTATTGAAGAAAAACTGGTATTTTTAACCAAATAAATCATTTAAAAATGTTAAAAGCTTTTAAGAACAATTTCAAGGGTTGAGCCCCATAGCCCTCATTTAGTACTATTATTTAAAAGGGGTTTGGAGTAAATGGGTCAAATACCCTAAAAGCTATTGAAGAAAAACTGGTATTTTTAACCAAATAAATCATTTAAAAATGTTAAAAGCTTTTAAGAACAATTTCAAGGGTTGAGCCCCATAGCCCTCAGGTAGTACTATTATTTAAAAGTGGTTTGGAGTAAATGGGTCAAATGCCCTAAAAGCTATTGAAGAAAAACTGGTATTTTTAACCAAATAAATCATTTAAAAATGTTAAAAGCTTTTAAGAACAATTTCAAGGGCTGAGCCCCATAGCCCTCATTTAGTACTATTATTTAAAAGTGGTTTGGAGTAAATGGGTCAAATGCCCTAAAAGCTATTGAAGAAAAACTGGTATTTTAACTAAATAAATCATTTACAAATGTTAAAAGCTTTTAAGAACAATTTCAAGGGCTGAGCCCCATAGCCCTTAGGTAGTACTATTATTTAAAAGTGGTTTGGAGTAAATGGGTCAAATGCCCTAAAAGCTATTGAAGAAAAAGTGGTATTTTTAACCAAATAAATCATTTAAAAATGTTAAAAGCTTTTAAGAACAATTTCAAGGGCTGAGCCCCATAGCCCTCATTTAGTACTATTATTTAAAAGTGGTTTGGAGTAAATGGGTCAAATGCCCTAAAAGCTATTGAAGAAAAACAGGTATTTTTAACCAAAAAAATAATTTTAAAAGCTTTTAAGAACAATTTCAAGGGCTGAGCCCCATAGCACTCAGGTAGTACTATTATTCAAAAGTGGTTTGGAGTAAATGGGACAAATGCCCTAAAAGCTATTGAAGAAAAACAGGTATTTTTAACCAAAAAAATCATTTAAAAATGTTAAAAGCTTTTAAGAACAATTTCAAGGGCTGAGCCCCATAGCCCTCAGGTAGTACTATTATTTAAAAGTGGTTTGGAGTAAATGGGTCAAATGCCCTAAAAGCTATTGAAGAAAAACTGGTATTTTTAACCCAAAAATAATTTTAAAAGCTTTTAAGAAAAAATTCAAGGGCTGAGCCCCATAGCCTAGAGGTAGTACTAATTTTGTAAAGTGTTTTGGGGTGACTGGGTCAAATGCCCTAAAAGGTATTGAGGAAAAACCCATACTTTATATAAAAAAAATCCTTGAAAAATACACCAAATCTACTAAGCATAATTTCATGGCCTGAGCCCCATAGCCTAGAGGAAGTACTAATTTTGTAAAGTATTCTGTGGTGACTGGGTCAAATGCTCTAAAAGCTATTGAGGAAAAACCCATACTTTCCATTAAAAATCCTTGAAAAATACACCAAATCTATTCAGCATAATTTCATGGCCTGAGCCCCATAGCCTAGAGGTAGTACTAATTTTGTAAAGTATTTTGGGTTGACTGGGTCCAATGCCCTAAAAGCTATTGAGGAAAACCCCATACTTTAAATAATAAATCCGTGAAAAATACACCAAATCTATTCCGCATAATTTCATGGCCTGAGCCCCATAGCCTAGAGGAAGTACTAATTGTGTAAAGTGTTTTGGGGTGACTGGGTCAAATGCCCTAAAAGTTATTGAGGAAAAACCCATACTTTATATAAAAAATCCGTGAAAAATACACCAAATATATTCCGCATAATTTCATGGCCTGAGCCCCATAGCCTAGAGGAAGTACTAATTGTGTAAAGTGTTTTGGGGTGACTGGGTCAAATGCCCTAAAAGCTATTGAGGAAAAACCCATACTTTATATAAAAAAATCCTTGAAAAATACACCAAATCTATTAAGCATAATTTCATTGCCTGAGCCCCATGGCCTAGAGGTAGTACTAAATTTTGTAAAGTGTTTTGGGGTGACTGGGTCAAATGCTCTAAAAGGTATTGAGGAAAAACCCATACTTTCTATAAAAACATCCTTGAAAAATACATCAAATCTATTAAGCATAATTTCATTGCCTGAGCCCCATAGCCTAGAGGAAGTACTAATTGTGTAAAGTATTCTGGGGTGACTGGGTCAAATGCTCTAAAAGGTATTGAGGAAAAACCCATACTTTATATAAAAAAAATCCTTGAAAAATACATCAAATCTATTAAGCATAATTTCATGGCCTGAGCCCCATAGCCTAGAGGTAGTACTAATTTTGTAAAGTGTTTTGGGGTGACTGGGTCAAATGCCCTAAAAGCTATTGAGGAAAAAAACATACTTTATATAAAAAAATCCTTGAAAAATACACCAAATCTATTAAGCATAATTTCATTGCCTGAGCCCCATAGCCTAGAGGTAGTACTAATTTTGTAAAGTGTTTTGGGGTGACTGGGTCAAATGCTCTAAAAGGTATTGAGGAAAAACCCATACTTTCTATAAAAACATCCTTGAAAAATACATCAAATCTATTAAGCATAATTTCATTGCCTGAGCCCCATAGCCTAGAGGAAGTACTTATTGTGTAAAGTATTCTGGGGTGACTGGGTCAAATGCTCTAAAAGGTATTGAGGAAAAACCCATACTTTATATAAAAAAAATCCTTGAAAAATACATCAAATCTATTAAGCATAATTTCATGGCCTGAGCCCCATAGCCTAGAGGTAGTACTAATTTTGTAAAGTGTTTTGGGGTGACTGGGTCAAATGCCCTAAAAGCTATTGAGGAAAAAAACATACTTTATATAAAAAAATCCTTGAAAAATACACCAAATCTATTAAGCATAATTTCATTGCCTGAGCCCCATAGCCTAGAGGAAGTACTAATTTTGTAAAGTATTCTAGGGTGACTGGGTCAAATGCTCTAAAAGCTATTGAGGAAAAACCCATACTTTTCCATCAAAAGTCTTTGAAAAAACCATGAAATACAATAAAATATTAAATGTGGTAGACTAAATGTAATCTTTAGGTGTATTTTCTATCTCTTTTCATTAAAATTGTTTATTTGTATCATATTATTGATTTACACCTAAACTACATTTTTTACACAGACAGTAATTCATAGACGGTCCCTAAGTTCGAACGATCTTAGTGCTGGAGGCGAATATCCAACGTCCAACGTGAAACCAACTTCACCACGGTGTTCATCTTTAGGCTTCAAGTCTAATAATGTATATACTGATTTGGCTTTAATCACTGTCAGAAGTGACGCTTCGGTATTCCAGATCACTGTAATTCCTTCTTCATGAATCATTCTAGTTTTTGAAGTGCACCCGGTGCCTCCCACATTTCCCTGTGCTTCAGAGTTGGGAGGTTTTCTAGTCTGATGTTTCTCCCCTTTTCCTCCAGATTGAACATGAACACGGTTGATTTAAAATATGGTTTATTAGAGAAGTACAGCTTCTTCCAAATGGCGCTCATAAACAACACCGTTGACCAACATATAGCTACAGTAATGTTTCTGTTACAGAATAGATCCATGGTTCTACCTCAGCTTCAAGGTCAAGACATCACCATCTGGGCTTTCTCACATTGTTTAAAGACTGATATATTTAAACTTATGACTGATTTGATGTGTTTTAAAAAGAAAAAAAGCCTTCAATTTTTTTTTACATTGTGGCAATGCACAAGGGGCATAGTTTTAGGACTATACCTAAAACAGAAGACCTAGTTTTACGTTGTACTATCTTCAAATTTATTTTTTATTTTTATTTTCTTTTACATTTCATGTAAACGCTGTGCAATTGTATATATTTGATTTTCAGATCATGACCACTCTGGTCCCATGCCTCACCATCCATAAAATAAACTAATGTGTAGTACTCCAGGATATCCTCCCTATGTTGTCACTGTTCCTATCAGATGTTGAGTGCATTTGAGATTACCCTATCACCAAAATGAATTTTCATCTTTGTGAATCTAATAATACATGTGGCTATGACTAACACATGGGTGACAGACACAGACAGCTGCGACTCTTAACCGTGATGACCACACCCCCAGGAACCTGATCCAGCACAAGGACCAGTCCTTCTCTGTTGTGGGGAGAAGTCCGGACGCCCCTCCGAGCCTTCTCTCACCCCTGATCCCAAGAACCAACTGGACAAAATGGCTGCCATGACTATAGATCCGGTGGAGCAGCCTCGCATGTACCAACAGACTTTGCTTCAAGATGGACTTTGTGACCTCCTGGAGAATGACAAGTTTGTGGATTGTGTTCTTAAGGTGCAAGACAAGGAGTTCCCCTGTCACCGCCTGGTGCTTGCAGCAAGTAGCCCATTCTTCAAAGCAATGTTCCTGTCTGAGCTCGAAGAAAGCAAAAAGCGTGAGATTGTCCTCAAAGATGTAGAACCTGGGACTTTGGGAATGATTTTAAGGTACTTATACACTTCCGATATCAATCTAACAGAGCAAAATGTTCAGGACATCTTCATGGTGGCCAATATGTACCAAATACCATCCATATTTTCTGTCTGTGTGTCCTACCTTCAAGAGAAGCTCGTACTTGGAAATTGCTTGGCCATCTTCAGGTTAGGGCTGCTTCTGGACTGTCCCAGGCTGGCTCTGGGTGCCAGAGAATTTATATGTGAACGTTACCAAGTTGTAGTGAGGGACCAGGACTTCATGCAGCTCAGCCCCAGTGAGCTGGCCATCCTTATTACAGCAGATGCTCTGAATGTGGACAGGGAAGAGATTGTGTTTGAATCCCTCATGGACTGGATCAAACATGACGAGAACAACCGCCTCAAAGATCTGCCAGAGCTACTTCACTGTGTGCGATTCAGACTGATACCTTTGGATTACCTTAAGGACAAAGTAGAAAAGCACCAATTTATTCGCTTCAGTCAAGAGATAAAGAAAGATCTGGAGATGGTTAAGGATGCACATAAGGGACGGCTACCAAAGCCTCAAAAACAAAATGTTGAGGGGGAAGACGGAGGAACGGAGGAGGGAGATGAGGAAGAGGGGTTCCTACCTGGAATCCTAAACAATAACCCTCGATTTGGGATGTTTGAGCAGGATCTGATCCTTATGATCAGCGACACAGGGACAGTGGCCTACGAGCCGGTTGGGAATGAGTGCTTTGTGGTTTCAGACTCCACAGAAATCCCCAAAAATCACTGCAGCCTGGTGACCAAGCAAAACCAGATATTTGTTGTAGGTGGGCTGCTTTTCAATGAAGAGGACAAAGACGAACAGTTCAGCTCATACTTCCTACAAGTAAAGTCAAATCTAACATGACTAAAATAGGATTTGATTGTGGTTTCAGTTGGCTAATTTGTGTTTCTCAGTTTGATCCAGTCAGTTCAGAGTGGCTGGGGATGCCCTCACAGCCCAACCCTCGCTGCCTGTTTGGGATGACAGATGTTGAAAACTCCATCTATGTGGTGGGAGGCAAGGAGCTGAAGGACGGAGAACATGTGCTGGATTCAGTCATGATCTATGACAGGCAGTAAGCATCACACTCCCAAATAGACTAAGTGAATGGTTTAGATCTGGTCTTTGGGAGCATTAACTCTTGTTGGTTCACTTTAACTGGACCAATTACTTAATATACACCTGAGTCATATTTTATCAAAATAAAACATTGAACAACACTCACAAACAACCTAAAATGAGCTCAAACTCTGTTCAAATTAACATTAGGATTAAGATATCCCCACAGTGGGGGAATTTCAGTGTTGCATCAGGAGTTACAGAACAGTAGGAACGAGGAACAATAAATTATAATAAAATCTCTAATTTTAGCATTTTATATATAGAAGCAAGTATAGCATACTGTATATTCTAGTGCAATAAATATGTAGTTGTATTATATGTTCTATGTAATATATTTTATTGTTGTCTTCATGTGGCCCATTATGTTAGTCTCTGGGAACACATCTCTCAGTCTTAAAGTTTTTTAGCAGTACCTCGGGAAACAGACCAGTCTTATAATTTATTCATCCAATGGAGTGAAAAGTTGAATGGACTGAATTGAGAAAATACAAATGTTGGTTATCATTTTTTCATATGTAATTCTAGGCCAAAAACATAGCTATACTTCCTGATATGTGATGTATTTGTGTTAAATATGCTCTCTAGTGAGTAATACACTACAATCACTGTTGTTCCTATTCAGATCTTTTAAATGGGGCGAGTCCGATCCGCTTCCTTACCAAGTCTATGGACATGGCACAGTATCACACAACGGCCTGGTGTATGTGATTGGAGGAAAGTCAGAAAGCAAGTGTGTGACTCTGTTTTAAACCTATTTAACATTTATAAAATGTATAATGGATTTTAATTCACGGATTCATTTTCACCAAAAAGGAAATGCATGAGGAGAGTGTCCATGTACAACCCCACAAAGTTTGAGTGGAAGGACCTGGCGCCCCTGAACACGGGGCGCGCCCTGTTTGGAGTTACGATTCATGACGATCAGATCTATGTGGTCACCGGAGTAACGGACTCAGGCCTCACCAGCTCTGTGGAGGTTTATGATATTGCCACCAACAAGTGAGTACACGTTATTAAGATTTAATTTAAAACCGTTGCTGTCATACCTGCATTTAGAGCACACGCAAACACACACACAAACCCACACACATGCAAAACACACACACACACACACTGCTCTAGTTCATCGTGTGTGGCCATTGCTGAGGTTTAGGTATTGAGCTGATATTCAGTTTAGAAACTACAAACTACAAATAGTTTTTCAAAAGAAGAATACATCTGAAATACATTTGTTCAGAAAATACTGAATATGATTTGAACATTTTAACCTTGCTTTTGCCACTTAGCATGAAAATAAAATTATCCACAGTCTCCTCAATAATCCTCTGTATGTCTGAACGTAAGCACTGTTTAAATATAGCACTGAATATAAAGCGTTAACTGGGGTGATTCGCAAATCATGAAAGGAGAAAGACCATCTTAGATTGGCATTAACTCTTAGATAATCTTTAATCAATTGTGTATTTGATTTCTTGGCCATTAGAAAAGCATTCTCAGATAGACAAATAACTATTAGATTACTCTTTGTTTTCCCCCTCCCAATTATTCAGTATTCCAAGTCTAATGGTGAGTCATAGGGCTCTCAGACAGCAAATATGTATTGGAAAACTATTTGTAGTGCTCCTTTTTTCTTCTGTTGATATGTACTTATAGGGGTTAGATAGCACAGAGAGTAGATACATTAAGTAGGACTAAAGATTTACATACATATATTTTTAACAAATTGAGATGTGTTTGTTTAACTTGTTTTAACACTGTCTTTATAAGACAACACACCTGCACACATTTGGCCACTGACTCACACAAAAAGCTCTTTCGCTGTATCATAAGTAAGCTCTTTTATTCAATAACTTCCTCATTTGTGTGCTGACATTTTTAGATGGTCGGAGTTCACAGAGTTTCCTCAGGAGCGCAGTTCCCTTAACCTCGTCTCAATGGGAGGGTTTTTGTATGCCATTGGAGGATTTGCTATGATGCCCACAGAGACCAGCGAGGAGCCCGTGCCAACAGAGATGACTGATATCTGGAGGTCAGCCACCCACATTCGAGACATTTAATTATCTCTCCTTTAACCACGACATTTATCATAACCTTTAAAAACAAGAGTATATGTTAGAGCTTAAAATTGGATCAACAATTTCAGCGACTATTTGTTAGAGTAACCTTGGAACATTTCAAGCTGCTGGAGCAATAAACTGTGAGGCACAAAGAACAAATTCAAGGACACAAATTGTATAAAGCCTGTGATTGTTTGAACTGAAGCGTCATTTTGACTTTAATGCTTCACTGTTCAAAATGTTCATATGGTACTCACAATTTCTTTATTTAAACGTGATGAAATGTCTCTACTGCTGCTATAAAGAACTATGAGGAGGGAAGCCTGCTCAGTTCTGCAGTTTAAACATCAATGAACCTTTTTTAACAGTCTAGATAAGGGGTGTCAAACTCAGGGTCGTGGGCCAAATCCGGCCTGCAAGACAATTTTTAGTGGCTCCTAAAATGATTTTCAATTATTTCATTGTAAAACGTTAATCCATCATTAGAAGTTAAATAGTTAAATATAAATCATTTTGTTTTCAGAAGAATACCAAAAAATAACAGGGAAACTCAAGTCACATAAAAGTCATGTCAAAAAACCTTCCTTCTATTCTTTCGGCGACCAGTTCCTATTTTGTTTATTCGGCCCCTGACCAAAATGAGTTTGACACCCCTGATCTAGATGAGTACTAGTGCTCTAAAAAGAATATCATGAAAAAAGAGTAAAAACAATCCTCCCATTTATTTTCACACATATTCTTTATTTTCTTTATGTCAACTACAGGTACGACGAGTCGGAGCAGAGCTGGACCGGTATTTTAAGAGAAATCCGCTACGCAGAAGGAGCCTCGATTCTGTCTGCGCAGCTCAACACACTGCGTCTGAAGAAGTTGTAACCAAAGTGAATTATCGGTTAGTTATGTAAAGAATTGTATTATTTAAGATAATGAGAGTTGTATGCATGCTATTCCTGACCGATAATGAATTTCCTATAGATGCTTATGGAAAAAAGCAACCACTGCAACCCTGAGAGACTAATTTATTAAAAACAGGATTAATGAAGCAATGCTCTAATACCTAAAACCTAATCAATTTCAACTGATAAAAGGCATAATGTTAATTACACAGTCCTCATTATGCATCTGTGCCAGAACGTGTAGGAGCAGCATTAGTGGATCTTGGGGTGCGTTCCCAGTTAGTCCCGAGTGAACCAGAGTACGCTTTAATTGGAGCGATTCTGGTTCACAAAAATGCTTCATTTGCGTAGATTTGAAAACACCAAAGAAGTGAACTCTGATTCACTTGTCACTTCAAAAAGAGTCAACCTTTTTTGAGATTTCAACTATTGTACAACATTGTTCTCTCATAAAAATAAACAGACCAGCGTTTGTTTCTAGATTCATCCACGGTAATATCAGGAACTTCTGGTACAAACCTGTAACTCCGCCTTTTCTGTCTGAAAGCTCTTGTTTCAGCCCTGTCACAGTATGATGTCATTGTACCACTATGACCTCACACTCAGAGCAGTTTTCTGCCTGCCATGGATTGGATTTGGTCATTTCTAAGGTGAAATAACGTTCTTTACAATCGCATGCCTTTAAAAAAAAAAAGAACCAAAATATTATTCAACTCTTCCCTCTGGTGGTAGCATATGGAGTTACAGGCAGAAATAATTGTTGTCTCTTTATAAATGTTCCTCCATATACTTTTTATTTTTTTCACATTCTAATATATGAAATAATCAGAGAAAAAGCAAAATACATTTTAATGGCCAAAAAAAAGGCACAGTAATTCTTCTTTAAAGGTGAGTTCCTCAACTGACCTAGTGTGACCTGCTTTTTGTGAATTGATCCGATACCAGCTCCTTATGTTTTTGCTTTGCTCGAAATGTCCCTCAGATTGATTTAAAACATGTACATTCCTAAGTTATGGATGCATTTAGTGCTCAAAAAGTCGCCTGCCCCAGATATATCTTGTAACTTAGTCCAGTTAAATCATATGCTTGTTTTCAGTGTAAATGGAAAGTTTTATTACAAAATTTTTGTATATTTATTCAGAAAAAAACAACAACATGTAGAGCAAAAAACATGCCACCAGGACAATTGAGGAATGCGCCTTTAAATCAGTTCACTTCTTTTGTGATGTCATGAGGACGAGCCCACTACGCCAATAATTGTGAACGTGCCCTTTTTGATAAATCTAAACTAAAGTCGTCCACGTAAAAACTCCTCCTGAGACAAACATAGACCGCTTTCATTTGTATAAACTCTGAACTCTCGCACTCCATGATCAATGTCACTGGTCATCTTGTAATGTCTGACGGATGCCTGCCACGGTTTGGAGCCGGGATCATGGGAATACATGTGGTTATGTGCATTATTTACCGGTACTTCTGAAGCGTTTTAAGCACTTAGGAAATACCCAGAGTTCATGCATAGTTGAAAAGGCTACATCAAGGTTATGGCATTTAGACAAAAGAAAGTTGGACAGAGATGACTAATATCACAGTACTATATCAGTCAATATCAGTCAATTGGTGAGCAATTCATTCACAAGTTCTCTAGGTAGATTACTTTTTAAGACCAGAGTGTTTTTTTCCCATACATAGCGGGTAGTCACGTGATGCTCCTGTGTAATAGCTTGTGAAGGTTTTTTTTTTTGCGCTGTCTTCCTACCACTAGAGGGAGGACGACAGTGCCATCTGCAGTTCCACTTCTTCAGAACAGAATCCCAGGTTTGTGACAGTAAAGAAAGCCCCCTTGTCCCGGTTCATAGTCCATGTTTACAGATTTCTATTGCCTCTTTGATGTGCACTGAATATTAGTCCAAATTGAGTTAATTTTCTACAAGTCCAATATTAATGAGTATATGCTTTAAATAAGTGAGGGCAATACATTTCTTTTCAGTTTCTCAACAGGAAACTCATTCATTTTATTTGAATAATTATTAGAACCAAGTGTATTTGAGATCCAGTATTGTATATTGACTTAGTGTGTACTCTTGAACTAGAAGATAACTGTAAGAATGGGTAATAATGTATATTTTTACAAGTTTGGTACTCCTTAGTAATAATGTATGCAATGTTGTTATACCGTTTTACAGTTTGATCACTTTTATGTTCCAGAAATAAAGCTGAATGAATGGAAATCAAGTCCAGTGCAAATTATTTTTAATTCACGGGACACAAATATAAGACATATTTAACAGTACATGTACCATATTTTAAAACACACAGCTTCAATGTAAACAGTGGTCACCTGAGCACTACGTCATCACCATGGAAACTATGAACACTTTCACATTATTTACAAAGACAAAATTGAGATTGAGTTTGAGGTAAGTGGAGTTGAAAGAAAGTAAAGTTAACGGCTTGACCCTCTAGGCGCCACGGTTGACTGAAGTTGACAATATGCGTTCCTGTTTAAAACGGCCAATAGTGTCAAGCAGGGTGTAAAAAAAATATTCAAAATAACTCACAGCCACACATTTTTTAAAGTTATTGAGAAATTATCATGACAAAATTGAACCTCTTAGGAACAAACCTCTGGCGCCTAAAGGGTTAAAAGGAAAATAAACAATAGGACATTTGATATGCCACACTCTAAGGAATAAAGTGCTGGATTTAAATGATAAAGTTAAGCAATAATATACAACTTATTCTATTCAACTCTTACTTAAAACCTTACTTAACATACACTTTATTTCTTATAGTTATCCCTGTACCCTGTGTATAAGTCAAAGCTAAACTGTCTTAATTTGGTCATTTAAGAAAGTCTAAAAATGTTGATGTTGAAATGCGAGAGATACACTGTCAGTGAGTCTTTCCTGTTACAGTTTTCGATACGACCTGAAAAAGCACTGAAAACCATCACGTCATCACTTTACAAATGCACAGGATGTAACTGTGTCAGATTAGACCCTGAGACACATTTGTCTAATCAATACTGCAGGTGGAATCTTACAAACTGAACAACACACATACAACCAGGCACTTCTATAACAACACAAGGGAAGCAGCCTACTACTTGTGGTGGAGAATGTATTTCAAACTAGTATGTAAAATAGTTTGGTCTAGTAGGTCCTGAGATGTAAATAGCAAAAATGGCATGGCAGTCCCTGTATAAAACAGTGATAAAGACCACTGGATATAAGCAAAGAAACAAGATTCCACTGTATCATAATTGTATAACTATTATACAAAAGTCCAGCACTTACTCCCCTTACTCTCTATGATTCATGTATTCATTATTTTAAACCTTTTCACAGGACTTTCTCATCCCTCTCCTTCACTGGAATGTTATGTGGTTTATTTATACTGGCAGCGTAAGCAGGACAGTGGCTGGTTATGATATCGCCCCTTCACTGTGACAGCTCTGGTCTTTACAGCCACAGTCATAAATGCGGCCACTGCTCCCCTCAGCGACAGGGACCATTAGGTTAAGTGCTTTGGCCCTTTATTGAACAAAAGCCTTTTAATAAACATCTTGGCTCTTATAGATACAAGTCTATTCATCTTCACAACAGATGGATAGTTTGGTCCCGTTTTTTATTTCACTTGATGAACCACAGCAGTGTGGTTATAGTGTGTGGGTTATAATGAAGACAGATATGGATTTCACTGTGCCTAACTCCAGTCAGTATGGTCCCTTTTTCATGGTCAATCCAACTCACAGGTGAATTTAAAACAACAACAAAATCAGTACGAAAAAATATTTATATTGTATTGATGAAAATCTCAGTTGTGTTTTGTGAATCTACTATTTTTGATGGTGTTTGTTTAGAATCTTTGAATTCTTACATCCACCACAGGACACATGACTATTAGTATAGTAGTCATTAGTCCTGCATATACTATTAGTATATATACAATTAGTATACTTATAGTATATACTATTATATACTATAGTATGAGTATTACTGTAATAATTCCACACAGAATTATCTTGGAGAAAAAATACCAGTTTGGGCTTTCATTGAACGCAAATAAATCATTAGATATCGTCAGGTCAATTATGGCACATGGGGATGAAACAAGTACCTGCAATAGGCCTTCATCTCTTAAGTCCTTCTGCTAGTGGATCATGTCTCATAAATATATATGTGCACCTGGCAACTGGTTGAAATGGCAGTGATCTCACCAAAACTGGAAAACACTGAATAGAAAAAAGATACACATTTCTTAAATTAGCAAACATTTTTCATATTTTAAAAGTACGACTTGCATATACAGGTGAAACAGCGACCATTGGAATCTTGTTCAAATGTAAATTTATTTCAGTGATTAAAATTAGAATATGAAACTAATATATCCTATAAACTCATAACCTACAAAGCCTTTGTTTTTTATGGGGGGTTATTTACCAATGATCAACATTATAACAAATAAAGTTATATCTCAATATAGCAGTTTCACATTGTAAGTTGAACTGCAGAAGTAAATAGACTTTTGAACGATATTCTACTTTTCCGAGTTTCACCGGTGTACAATTATTGAACAATGACTTATTTCAAGTGAGAAATCTAATCCTTTTTCCTACAGTAATTAAAAGAAGACATTTTGTGCTGTTCCATCTTATAAGAAAGTCCAAATCCACTCAATACATCCATTGCTACAACCTGGTTTGTCTTTTTTGCAGTGAGCTGTAAAAACAGGTAAATTGCACATTTTTGGTATTGCTGCTGCATTAATTGGTGAATAACCTGCATGTTTTACTTCTTGTCAAGTATTCCCCCATTAGAATGAAATCCAAATGGCAGAGAGTGGGTAACAGAGCCCATCTTCGTGGCTACAGAATCTTTTGAGTCAAAAGACGATGCAGCGGTGACATCATAAAGAAGAGAAGTGCTCGTGGCAGGTGGAGGAGGCGCGGCGCGTGGTGGGGCTACATTTGGTCAACATACTGATCTGGGTGCTGAAGTTGTTGCCGTTGCTGCCGAGTGAAGGATGCTTTAGGTCTGCTCCCAGGAAACGCTGCAACATCCATCTGCGCCACTTACGTTTAATCTCCGACTGCACCTGCCACAGAGGAGGAGTGTTAGAATACACCCAGGCCCACTTTCAATACACCTTCGTAAACTAATGACATTATAAAGATACAGGTGTAAAAGAAACAACCATAAAACCATTTAAGTAAAATAATAATGCAATTTGGCAATATGATAAAAGAAACCCTAGGAAGAATAACTGTGTTAATGGGGATACAAAATAATCAAACAAACAGGACTACCCAAAAATGGGTCCCATAAGTGAGGTCAACCACTTCAATGTATTTTTCTGTTTTATTTTTGACCATATGGCCCTGTACTATTATGTAAAGAAAGTAAACAAAAAAAAATACATGAATAAATAAATAAATAAACAATGATAACAACAATAAAAACAAATAATGTGTCTGGTTCTAACCACAACGTATTGGTCTGCGTCACATCTTCATATCAGTTCTCAGTATAAACCTGTTTTTCTTTCTAGTAAAACAAACTAAATGTATTTATGAAGCCAAAGAACTTACGTACTCCATCCTTAAGGATTTTATTGAATAAATCTTTTCCAATCAGGAAGCTGTGGGGGTTAGCGTGGGGGGGTCAAACCAAAACGTTGCACCATAGATTGTTTGCACTCAAGATGTTCTCTCACCACAAAAGAAACACTAAGATGAGACCTCCATTGAAGGGCTGTTTTAACATGCGGAGCAGAGGCTTTCACAGCTCGAGAGGCCTTGGGGTTAAGTATGGTCTTTGGCACCATGAGCCGCAGCGGCTCTCGGACCTCCTCATGCAGCAGGGGGGGTACATTGGATGTCAAGTTTTAGATACTTTGTTAAGAGTATAGATACTAGCATGAAATTGGACTTTCTTTATCACACTGAAAAAGTAAAAGCTTGTGCATGAACTAAAAATGCAAAATGCATATTGGTTAAAAAATTGACAGATACTACTTACAGTGGGGCAAAAAAGTATTTAGTCAGCTACCAATTGCGCAAGTTCTCCCAAAAGATGTGGGAGGCCTGTAATTTGCATCATAGGTAAACCTCAACTGGGGGTGGAGAGGTCCTCCCTCAAGTGGAGGAGTTCAAGTATTTCGGGGTCTTGTTCACGAGTGAGGGAAGGATGGAGCGTGAGATTGACAGGCGGATCGGTGCAGCGTGCGCAGTGATGCGGTCGCTGTATCGGACCGTTGTGGTGAAGAGGGAGCTGAGCCGAAAGGCGAAGTTCTCAATTTACCGGTCAATCTTCGTTCCCTCCCTCACCTATGGTCATGAGCTTTGGGTAATGACCGAAAGAACGAGATCGCGGATACAAGCGGTCGAAATGAGCTTCCTCCGCAGAGTGGCTAGGCGCTCCCTTAGAGATAGGGTGAGGAGCTCAGTCACACGGGAGGAGGTCGGAGTAGAGCAGAGCCGATTTGAAGAAAGCAACTGTGGGAGCAATTATTAGAAAATGGAAGACATACAAGACCAATAATAATCTCCCTCAATCTTGGAGTTGAAATTCCATTTTGCCCAGCAACAGCCCCAAAACATCACTGCTCTAGAGGAGATCTGCATGGAGGAATGGCCCAAAATACCAGCAACAGTGTGTGAAAACTAGACTTGAAAATGTCTAGAAAATGTTTGAGCTCCGTCATTGCCAACAAAGAGTATACAACAAAGTATTGAGATAAAAAATTTTTATTGACCAAATACTTATTTTCCGCCATAATTTGCTAATGAATTTTGGATTTTCTGGATTTGAGTTGAGGCGTAGTTGAGCTTTACCTACCTCATTGGACAAAACTAGGATGATTGTAACTATTTCTGCTTGAATGTTTAAATGAATAAATGAAAACAATGGAAGACAGTGCAGATAAGATGTGCTCTCATGTTTGTTCCAGTTCAAGTGCACGTATAGTATATTACTTATATTAATATTGAGTTGAATTTTTGTTATTGACCAAATACTTATTTTCCACCATAATTTACAAATAAATTCTTTAAAAATCCTACAATGTGAATTCCTGGATTTTTTTCACATTCTGTCTCTCACAGTTGAAGTGTACCTATGATGAAAATTACAAACCTCGGTCATTACTGTGGGAGAACTTGCACAATCGGTGGCTGACTAAATACTTTTTTGCCCGACTGTAGCAGGACCTTTGACGACCTGTAAGATGGAAAATGTGTGGTGGCTGAGGCCAGATAAAACAATCCCATTACAGTAATCTAACGGAAGAGATAAAAACTTGCACGACTTTCTAAAACATTAAAAAGATGAAGTCAAAGATGACAAAATTTGACAACAGCCTTCAAATGTTTGCTTTCGTCTCATTCAGACTTTGACAGAAGAAACATGCCAAGGACAGTTTTTGGTGTGGCTAAATTGGCCAATTGTCCTCGTAAACATAAAAACAGCTGTAAATTTCAATGGATCTCTTGGTGAGAGAGAACAACAGGGAAAGTTTTTGAGAAGGTCCAGATGAAGGAAAACAGAGGCGATAAACATCCTTTTTTTCAGGCTCTGGTGAGGATCCAGCTGTTGCATCACACACTTCTGTTCTGCAAAGTGCTCGGAAACACCAAAACGACAAATAAAGGTTCTCTTATCTTGTCAAGTTTATGAAGTGGGATAACATCATATTTAAAAGAATAGTTAAATATGATGCAATATGTAACTTTTTCATGTGGAAAAAAAAAGAAAAGTAGTTTTGTGACTAATTGGCTTTGATCAAGGTTGTGATGGAGAGTGGTTCAGCATTGAAGTTTCCAAGCTGACCTTACTGCAACCTTACAGTAACTTTTCAAATTGTGAATGTTTTTCTTTCAAACGCAAGCAGCCGTTAGACCCGGCATCACAGCCTCCTGATCGGACGCAATTAAATCAAATCCTTGGTCGACAACTGAGGCTCCTCACCATTGGACTAATTATCCTCCTCCAGCAAAACTGTTTTAAATATTTATTAAAATGAAATATACTGAATGTAGATGATACTACAGGGTCAGAAGTTGCAGACCACATTTTAATGAACTTACTTCTCCGTTGAGGAAGCAGTACAGCACGGCCACTACAAAACCCTATGAGACAGAAGAGAACATGGTGAGTATCTGCGGCTGGTCCTTAGATTTAACAGCTGCTGAATATTTGCAGATGAATAATGATGGCGTGACAGAGCCACAGACACAGACAGGAGCCTCATCTTTTAGGGATTATTCCCCAGAGGCTGCAGATGAAACTGACTGCATAAATTATGAATAGTTTCCATAGAGAGGTTTCCATCATTGCACTTGGCTCTGTGTGTTTGTATTCAATTTCAAAGACAGTAAATCGTGAGGATGATTACGCAACCATGCACAAAAAACAAGCACTCTAAACAAAATGTGGACTGTAGAAATGTCCAGTGGCCTAAGTTCAACAACAGGAAGAAGGAGACTCGTTTATGGGCTTTTTTAACAGGACCATTAATTCTATCTTTGGGAGGAACGATCTGGAAAGCCATTATTACATTGTATCATTTTGCAAGTTGAAAAGCAGCCAGATATAAATAATTATTGTGAAGGAGAGATAAGATTGTGAATTACCAGCACACTAGAGATAAAAATCACTTAAACATGCACCAAAAGTTGATTTTTCTTTTAAACGTAACCAACTCTCTTTCAAATGGTTTCAATTCAATTTCTTTTTGTATAGCCCCTAAATCACAACGGTAGTGAGTCTGAGGTCGCTTTGTCGATTTGCCAACAACAATTGGCAAAAAAACAGACAATGGATTAATAACAAACACATAGATTTACACATACATAAACACATAAAACACAGATTTACACATTAATAAACACATTAAACACACATTTACACATTAATAAACACAGATTTACACATTAATAAACACATAAAACACAGATTTACACATTAATAAACACATTAAACACAGATTTACACATACATAAGAGGCCTTTATGTAATCAGATAATTATTTTTGATTGTAAAACTTGAATCATTATACCTGAAATGACCCCAGAATAAGGTCGAACACCATCCTCACTTGTGGGTTAATGTTGTCCGGGAAAAATGCAAAAATAATGTAGTTTATTCCAAACAGTGGTATCAGCAATAGAGTTGATTTGGCAAGTCTCCTACAGAAACATTGAGACATTTGTCAAAGTGTGGGCAAGAAAATCACCAGCTCACTGCCAAAAACATGAACATTAAAATTGAATCAGTAAATCTTACGAATATTGATTGGATTCTTTTCTTCCGATGTCAGGGCAGTTCATTTTCTGACGCAGGATCCGGATTATGCAGATAAAAAGGAAAAAATTGATCTAAAGCAGAACAAACAGATGTGATTCAAGCGTTTCATGAAATAGAAGTGACTAAATGGTGCTTTTACTCACAAGTATAGATACTAAAATAGGTGTTTTAATGATCCACCATGAGCGGGCGTCAATAATTTCCCAACAACTGTGGGAGAAAGAGATACTTTTTGTGTATGTCTGTTAAAAATATGTTCGGGCTCTTGTCATTGTGTCGTAATATTAATGAATACTGAAATTCTCCACTTACCCCGGGTCATTGAGCCAGGCTTTGGTGATGACCCATGAGGAGATGAATATAGTCGGTGCTCCTGTAAAAACACATTTGAAAAGTTATGACCTCGTTTTTTAGATTGGAAATGGATAAGCACAGAAATAAATTTGAATAATAATACAAATAATGATTCTAAAATATATAAAAAATAAATAAATGAAAAAAATCCTATGGAAACTTGTGAAGGCGTCACAGGCGGTTAATGACACGTGTACTGCCTGGCTTTGTTTTATCTCCAAAACTGGGAGAAAAAACAAGTCTTCAGCTGATGATTCGTGTTTCTTGATTACTGATTGTTTATAATCAGGATTCAGAAAAGATGAGCTTGGGATTTACACACTGCTGCTGATGCAATTGTGATCCAGGATCTGGAGCACGTGAGCGGAGCGCCCACAACGAGGTAAGACGAACAGGATTAAGACGGAACCTTTGTTGTGTAGCAAAAAAATAAATGAACTCACAAACAGCAAACTTTGCATATGGGGTTTGAACTCCTGCACAATTTTGGAAAACACCAAAATTGTGATATTTCTGACCAACATTGGAATTGTGATGTTCAATATCCTGTATTTTTAAAAACCTTGTAAAGCAATTAAAAATTGTGGCATGCAGGTCCCTATTGTAGATGTGCAATTATAACATAGATTGAATCCTGGGAATAGTCTGTCAAAAGTCTCATCATGTAGTGTCGTCTCTCAGGTGGCCTGCTGTTTCTCATTTTAAAACATCTACATTATGTGGAATAGTGGCACCTGTGCAAAATAGTCCATTTAGATTGACATTGGCATAGGACAGACATGAAAAAGATGTACTTTTCAGAATTTTGTCTAGAGATATTTCATGTTATTTTATCTGTTGATATATTTCTTTTTTATATATAATCTAAAACTGAAGTGTGACTAGAAAAAGTATTCAGACATTGTGTAGGGTTAGTCTCTACCAGCTTTTTTCCCAGTCTTTTCTTGCAAAACCGCTCAAGCTCTGTCACACAGTTTTTTATAATGGATTTATTTTTTTGAGATTACCTTTGCTGTTTCTGCTGAAGAAAAGCAGCCCCACAGTATGATGCTGCCACCACCAGTATGTGTGTGTGTGTGTGTGTGTGTCTGTTAAGTTCTATATGATGAAATGATTGTAAACCTTTTTTAGAAAATATATTTATGTTTGTGGTTGTCACAAGATAAAAAAAAAAAGCCTTTCATGGCTCTGTATCACTACTACTGCATTTGTGTGAACAAAACATAAATAAATAAATAATCATCATACCCCAGCCAATTATGATGTACCACCAAAAGTACTTCCTCTCTGAGAAGAATGAAACAGCGAGAAGAGCATGAAGGTAAAGGCCTTCTACCAACAGCCAGAAGTAACTGGCCATAACTCCATATTGAAAGAAGACCACCACAGCTTTGCAGCCCACCTGCAACGAGAGCATGGCGCACTCACTCATGCGCTCCAACAAGGCAACATTAGGAGACACTAAACATGCATTGAAAAAAAAAAAACATTATTTAGAATAAGTTTTAATATCTAAATGTCTGTTGACAATCATGAACTCAGAAACAACAAAGGTTATCTTATTTTAACCAAATGTAAATTGAAAACAGGTTTCTCCATATATATTTTTTGTTCAACAAAAATATTTTTAAATAACTAAACAGCAGGTGCTCAAGGCTTTGTGAGTCACAACAGAGGTCATTGACGAGAGTGACCCACATTTGCAGCAGTTTGGGCTCAAATCCAAATGCAGGTGTACAACACATAAATCACGTTACTTTAAATGATCTCTATGTTCATGACATCTACTGTTCGTCTTTCACTGAGGAACACAGTGTTTCTGTCCCACAATGAACACAACCAGTTGAACATGTACTTGAATATTTTGAGCTGCTTTCATTAGTGTCATCCTTTCACTTTGAATGGTTGAATGAATGGTTGAATGAATATTCAGAAGTGGACATAATTGTATATAATGTACTGTAGTGAATCAGAGTATATTCAGACTATTCTCTGTGAACACAAATTTTGTGCCAACGTTTTTTCCCCGATTGTCCAGAGAGTTAGCAGCTGTGTTTAAACCAGGCTAATGTGTGCGCTCTTAGGAGGAAATACATTCAAACTCGTCCATTAACAAGCAGCCCTCAGAGACTGTAAAAAAGCTGATTTACAATCTGCTGACCTAATCTTCCCTGATCGTAAAGTTAAAGATAAAGACGTGCTAAAACGAAACAAACAACACTTGAACATAAAAAGCCAATTTTGCTGTTACAAATAGTACAACTTATTGTCTATCGAAGTGTTTGCTAAGATTTCATAAGTTTGCAAATACTCTGCAAACAGACTTTGACAACATCCTTCTCAGACTGACAAATTGACAAATGAGAACAACCACTGCAGCTTATGGCAAACAGTGCTACTCCCTCGTGCACCTGACCCTTTGTGCGATAAAATAAGCTTCAGCTAAAACAGGAACAGGAAGTACAAGTTACGATGCGCAAACATACTCACAGTGGGGTGGCAGTTTTCGGCTTCACCAACATCATAGAGAATAACATCCTTAATAAACACAGATATGGCTTTTAGTATGAACGACACAAAGAGGTGCATGTGGATGTAGTTTCGGGTGCAGTGAAGCTTCCTGAAAAAAGAAAAAAAAAGAGCTGAAAATATGGAAGTATAATCATTGGTGAAAATCATCATATTGTATGGAAACAATGCAACACAAGCATGAGCTGTTTACGAGTCACAAACATGTTTACATGACAGCTGATCATTATTGGTACTTACTGCAGAAGCTATAGCTGTGTTAATGGCTTATCCGCGTGTTATCTAAAGGTCAATTGCACATTACTGCTGGTGCTTTTATTATGAGCCATATAGTTATCAGGAAGAAATGAAAAGAAAGAAAATCCCATAACCACGAAATGGCACTTTTCTCAAAGGTCAGAAACATGAAATCTCTTTCAAGTGAATGGCTTCTCAGGGATGGTCGATTGGTATGAAACACCCAGAGCCATCAGCGTGATGACACACTGCACCCCACAGCTGCTGAGTACAAACAGTAACATGCACTTCCTGTGTCTCAGTTAAACTGCGGCATCAGTAAACACATCTCTCTTGGTTTGTTCAATATTGGGCTTATGACAAGAGTCCAGAGATATTCTTTTGATCATAACATATCAGAATCCAGACACTTAACATGAGAACGTTACAAATCATAGAAATATGTTATCAATCAAGGGAAGGAGAAATGTTTACAGACAATCTCCCTTGACATATCTGCAAAAGCAGGCATTTCAGAAACAAAACACAGAGTCAGAGAAGAGCACTGTTCTAAAAAGAGAAAATAGGTCTTGAGCATAAAGGCATATAATGATGTGAAAAGATATTTGACCTTCTTCACCAGCGTCTTACCGAAATATGCACAGTATAATGATGGCAATGGTCAAGGAGATGAGGGATACACTATGACCAATTGTGTAGCCCACTTTGATGGCACCATAGAAGTGGCCCTGCGGACACAGGATGAACAAAGTGAAGGTAAATACGTTTGGCCATAACTGCGCGTGGTTGCTATTCCAAACCTCCGTGTCATCCATGGTGCTGTTGGGGTTGTATTCACAGTTCATTATGTAGGACTCCAGGCTGATTGGGCTCCAGCCCCCTTCAGCGCAGATCTGTGACAAGTTTCCTAATGAGCACAGGGAACATACCACTTCACACACTTAGAATTATGTTGTGTTTATGTCTTGCTTTGAGGTATAAGGATTTTCACATTTATGGACACATAATTAAGCCACAACAAGACATATTTGTCCCTGTGGATTGGTCCAGAACGCTAAAAGAAAGCATTATACAGCAGGGGATCAGGGGACCTCTTGGCCCGAGATGTAACAGCATTTCCCCTGTGTATTCTCCTTTCTCTTAATTACTCTGCAATCCACAAGCTCTGACCACTGTGTCCATGTTTTAGATTACTTAGCCCTACATAGAGAGGATAATCCAAGGGAACAACAAAGATGAAGTTGAAAAAATTAGAATCTTTGAACGCACAGACAAAAATGCAAGGATTTAGTTTAATTAATATTGGGGAAGAAATATAGACAACCTTTGAGACGACTACTAAAATCAGTGAACAATTTCTATTCAATATCGTTTGTTCTGATATAATATGCCATGTACATGTAGTTTGCATAATGAGACTGATCAGTGAGTAGTAGCAAGAGATCTTTATTTATATAGCGCATTTTAAAGCCCAGGTCACCCAAAGCGCTTTACAATGTTCAGAGTTCAGATATTGTTCTATTCTCTCCAAACACTGTGATGACTGAAGCAAGACGCAGAACACAATGGCGCATGAAAGCCCCCAATCAACACCATCCATTCACTCACTCGTTACATTCATACCTATTGTGCAACATGCAGTGGGGGAAACCGGAGCGCCTGGAGGAAACCTACGCAGGCAATGGGAGAACATACAAGCTCCACTCAGAATGGCCCTGTTCCGACCAGGATTCTTACCCAGCCACCGTGTCGCCCAGTATATATTTAGAGTGGAACTTTTAAGATAAAGTTATGAAGTCAAATGAAGTATAGAGTTTATTTGTTGCCTCTCGCCCTATGCAGCTGCGGCGTGTCAGTCCGGAAGCCAAATGGACATTGACAATCCCCATAGGACCTACAGTAACTACTAACTACTACCCCAGTGCAGTTGTTTAAAGTACAAAAAGCACAATTAAAACGTACAATTCAGAAAAACATGTCCAAATGTTAGTGTTTTTTCAAAGGTTAAAGGTTGTGGCCCTGATTTGTTACAACGCTGATTGTCTATAAGCAAATAACCACATCGCCGTAATAACATTTCAACAGTGCAAACACATGCAACAAAACAACCATTCACGTTTATTCAAATGTGATTCAGCCGTTGACCTAATAAGTGTGAGGTGTAAATCGCGCCCACACTCTTGTCTTGACAGAACATAGTTGTGATGTAAAACTCTAATTCGAGGTATAATCTTATTGCAGACTCGAGGTAGAATCAAATCAGTAACTTAAGACCTCACTTTGCAGTTATACAAACGGCAGTGTACACAGGGTCACAAATTCAATTGAGTTGAACATTAACTTTGTGCAGCTCAAGTCTCGATGGTGCCACTTAAAGAAATCTAAATACTGCTTTGCGTCAATGACTATAATACTTTGTCAGATTATTGCTGCAGTAAATCAGGGGATGACTTCACTAAAATATAGTAAATAGAACCATGTGAAAAGCCAAGAGGTTCATAAATACATAAATCACTTTTGAAGAATACTTTGAAATGTGCAAACTTGAAGTGAAACTAACACAGCTGAGTCATAATGTGCTGTGAACTTTGGTCTCGGGTTGATACAGATCATTGGCATCAAAAAAACAAAAACACTTCCATACCAGAGGTTCTCAAACTTTACAAATATGCACTGTCTAACAAACTATTCTTTGTTAGACAGCGCCGTTTGTGTCCTTTAAAGAACCTCTAAAGCAACTGGGTCTAAGAAATAAATGACCAGTGTTTTTGATCCAGTGTTCTGTGGTATGTTTGCCTTGAGATGGCGTTTGGTGCCTTTGGAAATGATCCAATATTACCTGATATTGGTCAAAATAATGCAAAAAGAAATACATTTGGTTCCACATTCCCACTCAAAGAGCATGTTCAAGCTGGCTCTAAACAGCCTCAACCGCATCAAGGCTAACACGGATGTCAGCACTCTGTCAGTCCACTCCAATAGTTAATTTGTTTGAGAACCCCCTCTAAAGCTCTCAGGCCTTATCCAAACAAATAAAAGAATATCCATACCAGATACCTAAAAAAAAATATTTCAAAAAACATATAACATTTTGTCACTAGACCTGTCTGTCAGCTGATGGACACACATCTACCTGATGAACCTACAGAAAGAATCTGTCCTAAATAATGGTGAATTTGAAGAATACAGATTATTATTTATTCAAAAACTATTACATCAAGATTAGCACTGATATCATTCCTCTATAGTTAAAGGAGCAATATGTAAAATTCTGGCCAAAAATGGTACTGCAACCTCTTCCACTATCCCTGACTCGGATAATATAGACAGAGTTTTGTCAACAACAAATCTATAACAAACATCTTTTTCACAAAGGCCCTGATAGATATCCTCGTTTTATTCCTTGTTTTGTCATTAATTATTTTAGAATCAAAACAAGACCTTTTGAGATTAGCTCGACGCGGTGAGTTCTGGCAAAACGGATAATTGACTTTCTGATTGGTAAAACAGTAGAGGGGGGGACATCGAAATGTAAATAATAACAAGATTTAGGGTCTGTAAAACTAATTTTGTAATTTGGATATCTCGGCTGAACTACTGTTTTCAGTTAATGAAGTATTCGAACAGAGCATGGTTAATGCAAACCTTACATATTGCCCTTGTCCCTTAATAATGGTCAATGTTGGAGCCGCATGTCACACCATTACAGCTAATCTGGTCCTGTCACAAGGTTTTATTTTCCTCAGTTTTTTATTGTGAAACACTCTCCTTCACTTTACCGTCAGCGACTTAAGTTACGTGTGTTGGCAAGCAGTCCCCTTTCGCCTTCAATGCAACCACAGGAATAAATATTAGAGGACATTCCTTGTATTACCCAACCCTATCACCACGCTGCCTCTATCAAACCAAGACCAAGTTGGGAAACGATCAACAAAGTCTTACAATGTATTTTGTATTAACTGGGCAGGCTGCAAATACCTAAGCGCCGCGCTGCAGAGAAGATAGAGGTTTAGCGTGTGCAAACAATGTGACAGGACACAATGGTGATGGTAAGCACTGCTGTTTTAGCCCCTGCCACTACAGGACTGGTTTGTCAGAAGGATTGCCAGAAGAATGCTTTCATCGCCAACCAAAAACATGACTCCAAGAACTGTCCGAATATGCACAGCAGCACGGCGGGCGTAGGTTAATCAGCTTTTATGGCTTAAGTTGTCAAAAATTGGCTTTACTACAGGAATCAGAGGGCATGAGTCTTATGTTAACTCAAGTCTAGCTTCAATGGCGCTCGTGCTTCACAGCAATAAGGTCCTGGTTTGATGCCACCTCCTGACAGGGACTGTGTGAGTGGAGTTTGCATGTTCTCCCTGTGTTTGTGAAAGTTTTCTCCAGGTGCTTCGGTTTGAAAAAATAAAATAGTTGAAAAGTGATTTGTGGCTCCGTGCAAAGAGACTGTGCAAAATAAATGAATATTACTTACACACTAAAACAATGTATTAATAATTTACTTGTATTTGAATGTTGTTTTTATTATGGTTTCGTTTGTGGTCACAGAAATTGGCTTTATTGCAAGAGTGAGAGGGCTATAGTGTCGTGCAGGTTAGGAAAGAGGGCAGGCCTGTGTTATTAGAAGAGTTGAATGGCAGTGTTTGCGTTAGTCCTCGTAGGTAAAGAGTTCATGAGAATGGCAAACTCTACTTCGACTAAATTTACGGCTTGACCCCGGAATCTTTCTGGCGCCATATTGCGTAAGCCCTGTTTTCTTGTGTGTGCCGCGTGTCAATAATGTTAATCTTTTGTAATCCTGAAAGTCACTTAAAAGGAAAGGGGACTACAACTCAAAAACGTTTCTATAAAAAATCAATCACAGCGACCTTTTCATGACCCACACAAACAACACAAACATCTCAGGTTTAGGAAATGCAGGGTTCTGTTCTACATTTGCACCAGGATTTGACACTTAATCATCGGCCTCCAGCCTGACCTGAGAGCAGCGTACGACTATTTATTGCAACCGGCCTGCATCTCTAACTCAGGTTATCTAAAGCCTTTACTCCATGCTGTTCTCGTGTGAGCTTTGGACCCAATGCTTTGACAGACCAGTGAAATATGTTCCTCCAGTTCAACTGCACCAAATTGGCCATCCTTCTTTCCCGTTGCCCACTGCCTGTCCCCTGGGGTGCTCTGCTCGCTCAGGTCGCTCTATCTCCCATCTGGGTCAAATCACATCTTCCCATGGAGCCCTCATCTCAGATCCAGATTATAAATCTTTAGCCCAATTCCCACTTATAGCCAAAATGATGGAGAGTGCTGAGGCGAAAGGTCCTCGGCTGAAAAGGCCCCAGATTGAAGAGCTCTTTTACAAAGTGCACAACTCTTTTGAAAGGGGGGGTTTGCTTCATTCAATCCAGGTTTTGAAAGAAATATTTTGATTGAATGACTGATTTAACTCATGGAAGACATTCACTGCTGAAATCCCACCTGTTCAAAAATGCAATAGAACATTTATTTTAGTTATGTTTACCTGCATTTTTAAGCGTCCAAAAATTCGTTATAAGTATGATGTATTGTAATTATAATTATGATGATGATTACCATCATTACTAAAAGTGCATTTGTAGCACAGTGTTCTTGTGCTTCAGAGCAAGACGGTCCTGATTTGGTTTTTTGGCCTCCAGACCATGTTGGGCCATGTCACTCTCACAAAATATCTTAGCTGATTAAATAAATTCTTAATTCTTTATCTTTAGACAACTATTTGTTTCTGAAAGCCTGTTGTGTGGTTGGCTCCAGCAGGTCCGTCTGCTTGTGTTCAACCACAAAGAAGTTCTTGCTTTGCATCTGTCAGCAGATGCTCTCTTATCGCCATCATGAATAGTTCATGTCATTACAAAAATTGCTCTTAGTTAATTCACAAAATTACATTAGGAGAATTACAAAAAATATTGAGAAAAGCCAGTGTCCTCAACATCTGTTTGCTTTTGCAAAAGAAAAAGAAAAAACAGCTTTTATGAAATAAATAAACTGAACTGACCTCACATCCTGCTGAAATGGTTGGATTATTGAATATTGTGCTTAATGCTTACGTATTGGAATGTCCTTTGAAAAGTAGAAGAGATATTTGGGACAGGGGATGGTGACGACTTCTCCAACTTTAGCACTGGGCCAGCAGGTAATCTTGTCCCACATGACAGCACAACCTGAGATAGAAGATGTACAATTTATTAATAATGAATCCCAGAAATGTACAGAAAAAACCTGACTTTAATGTCCAAGGATTTGTCAGAAGGGCAGGTTACCATGGTGAGGCCGTTCATTGACATGGCGTGCTCCACAGAGTAGGTTTAAATGTATGGAGGCATGCAAAGAGACATGCACTTATATTTCTGACATAAAGTCAGAAAGTCATTGTGTAAGAGTGTGCATTATTCATTCACTCATACACAGTCATGGCAACTCTGCTGAAGCCACAGAAGCTGATGGAAGCTGATGGAAGCTGCTCAACCACACAACACCCACACACACACGCGCGTACGCATATACATGGAAAAACACACACCAGATTCATATGTCTTGTCAAAGGACATGATAACTTCTTTGGTCTCCCATCCAAGTACTAATCAGGCCCCAAACTGCTTAGCTTCTGAGTTCTGATAAGAGCAGGCTATGATGAGCAGTACAGTCAGGATGGTAAAGATCTTAATTTAACTGTACAGCTCAAGAAGAGGACAATAAATAATAAAATAATCAGAACACTGTTTTGGCAAAAAGTTATTCTTCTGTCTGTCCCTGACGCCTGCGTCCTCCAGGACCAGGACCAGGACCAGGACCAGGACAGAGTAAGTGGTTTAATGAGTCCTTTATTCAAACATTTCCAATAGAATCCATTTCTGTAAACAAACCTGTTGATTGGTCCAGATTCTGAGCCTCACACAGGACTCGCTCTCGCTCAATCTCTTTCTTTATGTCGCACATCTGATGCTGCATTGACAAAGCCTGTTGAGAAAATTAGATGATTAAACATAGGCAAGGCAAGTTTATTTATATAGCACAATTCATGCACTAGGCAACTTAAAGTGCTGAGCAAAACATTGTAATCATAAATAAACACAGTACATTAAAAAATGATATAAATATAAAATTCTGCTTAAAAAATTCAACTTCTATTTCAGTGGTTTTGCTCAAATCAACATAATTAAAGAATCATAATATTTACTATTCTTAGGTCTATAATTGCAAGTACTTTGTGGTGTTAATTCTCACAATAAAGTTTGAACTCGTGTCATCCATAGCAACAACCAAACCAGTGAATGTGTAAGAGTAAGACTTAAATCACCAGAACCGTGTTTTAAAACCACAGCCCTGATCTAAATTAATTTAATTTTTTTGTCATTTTTAAACATTTGTATGTTGTTTGAAACTGAGTTTACGTAATTTCCTTCCTTAAGGCTGGACCAATCTTGTTAATGAATGACTGTTGTTTCATAGCTACATGTGGTTTATTCCAAGAGAAAATCCAGCAACAGTAACATTTTGAGAACAAAAAGTAGTCTGCATTCTTTATCTCATTAGATTTTTTTTTATCTTTCACATACTGAGAGCTTGTTGGGTGAGTGAGGGTGGTCCTGACTAAAAAAAAGCTGATCTAAAGATGTCACAGACGCAAATAAATTAATTATTAATGGCAGTAAAATAAAAAATGTTGATGTATTCTCATATTTAGGTGTGACCCTGGATCGAAACCTGACCTTCAAACATCATGTCAAGAAACTCCGTAACACAGTTTAATTTGGCCAACCACAGATACATTCGGGGGTCACTCACAACTGAGGCGTCCCATCTGTATCTGAACTCCATGATCCTGTCACATACTGTGTATACTGTGTATACTGTGTATACTGTGTCTCGAGCTGGTCTCAGGGCTGTAAAACCACTCTGGGACCTGTCGAGTCACTGTACAAGTGTGCCCTTAAGATACATGATAAAAAGTCCAGGCGGTACCATCACTGTCCCATCCTCTCTAAATATGACTTTCTCAACTTTGAAAACCTAACATTTTACTCCAATGTTTGTTTGCTGTTTAAAATTATCCATGGTGTTAGTGCACATCTTCTAAGAAAATGTATTTCATTGAGTGCAGACAAAATGACCAGAACCACTCGATCCACTTCTAGAGGAGAATGCAGCGTCAAAAAATGTAGAACAATTTTTGCTAAATCTGCTTTTTCTGTGACGGCCATGAGTCAGTGGAAAACACTGCCCACAGAGATCATTGCGTGTACTACATTTAAAACATTTTCTTGGCTGACTAAGAAATGGCTTCTGAAAAAGCAAGTTTGCACGCACAAGTGAGTGAGTGAGTGAGGTGAGGTGAGTGAGGTGAGTGAAGTGAGTGAGTGAGTGAGGTGAGTGAGTGAGTGAGGTGAGTGAGTGAGGTGAGTGAGGTGAGTGAGTGAGTGAGGTGAGTGAGTGAGTGAGGTGAGTGAGTGAGTGAGGTGAGTGAGGTGAGTGAGGTGAGTGAGTGAGGTGAGTGAGGTGAGTGAGTGAGTGAGTGAGAGAGTGAGTGAGTGAGGTGAGTGAGTGAGTGAGGTGAGTGAGTGAGTGAGGTGAGTGAGGTGAGTGAGGTGAGTGAGTGAGTGAGTGAGTGAGAGAGTGAGTGAGTGAGTGAGTGAGTGAGTGAGGAGAGTGAGAGTGAGTGAGGTGAGTGAGTGAGGTGAGTGAGGTGAGTGAGTGAGTGAGTGAGAGAGTGAGTGAGTGAGGTGAGTGAGTGAGTGAGTGAGGTGAGTGAGTGAGTGAGGTGAGTGAGGTGAGTGAGGTGAGTGAGTGAGTGAGTGAGTGAGTGAGTGAGTGAGTGAGTGAGTGAGTGAGTGAGTGAGTGAGGTGAGTGAGTGAGTGAGGTGAGTGAGTGAGTGAGTGAGTGAGTGAGGTGACTGAGGTGAGTGAGTGAGGTGAGTGAGGTGAGTGAGTGAGTGAGTGAGTGAGGTGAGTGAGTGAGTGAGGTGAGTGAGTGAGTGAGTGAGTGAGTGAGTGTGAGTGAGGTGAGTGAGTGAGTGAGTGAGGTGAGTGAGGTGAGTGAGTGAGTGAGTGAGTGAGTGAGTGAGGTGAGTGAGAGTGAGTGAGGTGAGTGAGGTGAGTGAGTGAGTGAGTGAGTGAGGGTGAGTGAGTGAGTGAGGTGAGTGAGTGAGGTGAGTGAGGTGAGTGAGTGAGTGAGTGAGTGAGTGAGTGAGTGAGTGAGAGAGTGAGTGAGTGAGTGAGGTGAGGTGAGTGAGGTGAGTGAAGTGAGTGAGTGAGTGAGGTGAGTGAGTGAGTGAGTGAGTGAGGTGAGTGAGTGAGGTGAGTGAGGTGAGTGAGTGAGTGAGTGAGAGAGTGAGTGAGTGAGGTGAGTGAGTGAGTGAGGTGAGTGAGTGAGTGAGGTGAGTGAGTGAGGTGAGTGAGGTGAGTGAGTGAGTGAGTGAGTGAGAGAGTGAGTGAGTGAGTGAGTGAGGTGAGTGAGTGAGTGAGTGAGGTGACTGAGGTGAGTGAGGGAGGTGAGTGAGGTGAGTGAGTGAGTGAGTGAGTGAGTGAGGTGAGTGAGTGAGTGAGGTGAGTGACTGAGTGAGGTGAGTGAGGTGAGTGAGTGAGGTGAGTGAGGTGAGTGAGGTGAGTGAGTGAGTGAGTGAGGTGAGTGACTGAGTGAGTGAGGTGAGTGAGGTGAGTGAGTGAGTGAGTGAGTGAGTGAGTGAGTGAGTGAGTGAGTGAGTGAGTGAGTGAGGTGAGTGAGTGAGTGAGTGAGTGAGTGAGTGAGGTGAGTGAGGTGAGTGAGTGAGTGAGGTGAGTGAGGTGAGTGAGTGAGTGAGGTGAGTGAGTGAGAGAGGTGAGTGAGGTGAGTGAGTGAGTGAGGTGAGTGAGTGAGGTGAGTGAGTGAGTGAGTGAGGTGAGTGAGTGAGTGAGGTGAGTGAGGTGAGTGAGGTGAGTGAGTGAGTGAGGTGAGTGAGGTGAGTGAGTGAGTAAGGTGAGTGAGGTGAGTGAGTGAGTGAGGTGAGTGAGGTGAGTGAGGTGAGTGAGGTGAGTGAGATGAGTGAGGTGAGTGAGTGAGTGAGTGAGTGAGGTGAGTGAGGTGAGGTGAGTGAGTGAGTGAGGTGAGTGAGGTGAGTGAGTGAGGTGAGTGAGTGAGTGAGTGAGGTGAGTGAGGTGAGTGAGGTGAGTGAGGTGAGTGAGTGAGGTGAGTGAGTGAGTGAGGTGAGTGAGGTGAGTGAGGTGAGTGAGGTGAGTGAGTGAGGTGAGTGAGGTGAGTGAGTGAGTGAGGTGAGTGAGTGAGTGAGGTGAGTGAGTGAGGTGAGTGAGGTGAGTGAGTGAGTGAGTGAGGTGAGTGAGTGAGGTGAGTGAGTGAGTGAGTGAGTGAGGTGAGTGAGGTGAGTGAGTGAGTGAGTGAGTGAGGTGACCCACTAAGCAAGCCGACGTTGAATCAACGTAATTTGAACGTCGTTGTCCGACGTAGAATATAGGTCACTGGTGGGTGCAGAATGAAAGTTTTCTCGACGTCGTTTCCCGACGTCACCTCAACCTCCAAATGTTACGTTGATGGCACGTCAATTCAAGGTTTGAATGTGGTACGGAACCGGTCGGGTCTGACGTCCTATCAACGTCTCATATAGACCAAAATATTGACGTTTATATGACGTTCGTTTTCAGTCGTTCCCACAGTGGACTCTCTTTTAGTGCTCATTCTCGCTCTAGTCTCACCTTCTTCAGGAAATTTTTGACAGATTCTCATGAGACCAAGAAGTAGAATGTGGAAAATCCAAGAGTTCCATTTCAAACATGTATTTTGTTGTTGCAATAAAATGTGGCTGAGATAATTCTGTGCTTGTAACTGTGTCCTAACGCTGAGCTCTGAAGCGTGTCCTCTTTGGACTCTGTATTTCCCTCCCCACAACATGCCTGATTTATTGTCTCCCACCAGGAATGTCCACTATATCTTTTTGGGCCCTGTCAGTCGTCTGTCTCTAACACAGCTTTGAGCTTCATGAAAAACAAGTTCACTTCAAATGATTAGATTGTTAAACATACAATGGGTCCTCTTCACGAACGATTCTTAGAACAGATTTGTACGTAACCCCTACCTTACGAGGGTTTTACGAACGAAAGTGGCATTCCACAAATATTTTCTAACCAGAATTTCTCTGGGCAAAGTACAATCCTACGAGTACCTCAGGAGCACTCGTAGCATTCAGGTGCCGACATGTTCACCCCGGGGTTGTCCACTTTGGTGTAGTTTAATAAAAACTACAACATTCCAGTGACTATGTCGTCAATATTGATGTTATGTATTTAATCTAATATTTATTTTTGTGGTTACATTTTATTTCTTCATATTCATTTTTCAATTAAATGTGGCTTTCAAAATAACATTGGAAATCTTGCCGTGTATTAGTGACCCCTTCCTATTTATAGGGGGGCATATCTTTAACCACGGGCCAGAACAACGGATATATACTGCTGACTGCAGGCGGTTACTGGGTCCGCGCTGAGTCGCTGACAACTGGTCTCTCCTAGGATCTTACAGGTCTGCACTGAGTTCTCTTGGGTCTATAACGGGTCTGCACTGTTCTCTCCTGGATCTATACGGGTCTGCACTGGTCTCTCCCATGATATTATTTGGGTCTTGCATGGTCTCTCCCATGGATTCTATCCGGGTCTCTCTGGGCTCTCCATGGCTCTATAGGGTCTGCCACTGGTCTCTCCCCCATGGATCTAGCCGGGTCTGCATGGTCTCTCCCATGGATCTAGCGGTCGCACTGGTCTCTCCCATTGCTCTAGACGAGTCGGCACTGGTCTATCCTACGGGTCCGTGCGCATGCTCCTGGATCCATACGGGTACCGCGCTGGTTTCTCAAGTCTGGGTTATTGCGCGTCTCTTCGGTCGCGACCGTGGTGAAGTTGGTTGGTTATTGGATATTCGGCTGAAATTCAGAGAAGGGAACGTCAACATTTTTTGCCCTACTCTT